GCTTGAAGGATTTTGAGCATTACCTTGCTAGCAGGTGAAGTGAGTGCAACTGTANTTGAACATTCTTTGGCATTGCTCTTCTTTGGGATTGGAATGAAAACTGACCTTTCCCAGCCCTGTGGTCACTGCTGAGTTTTCCAAATTTTCTGGCATATTGCATGCAATACTCTAACAGCACTTTTTAGGATTTGAAATAGCTCAGCTGGAATTCTATCACTTCCACTAGCTTTGTTCATAGTAATACTTCTTAAGGCTCACTTGACTTCATATTCCAGGATGTCTGGCTCTAGGTAAGTGAACACACCATTGTGGTTATCCAGGCCATTAAGAACTTTTTTGTATAGTTCTTCTGTTCATTCTTGCCACCTCTTCTTAATCTCTTCTGCTTCTCTAAGGTCCTTACCATTTCTGTTCTTTATTGTGCCCATCCTTGCATGAAATGTTCCCTTGATAGCTCCAATTTTATTGAAGAGAACTCTAGTCTTTCCCATTCTTGCTATTCTCTGGAACTCTGCATTCAGATGGGTATATCTTTCCCTTTCTCCCTTACCTTTTGCTTCTCTTCTTCCCTCAGCAATTTGTAGATCTTCCTCAGACAACCACTTTGCCTTCTTGCATTTCTTTTTCTTTGGCATGGTTTTGGTCACTGCCTCCTGTACAATGTTACGAATCGTCATCCATAGCTCTTCAGGCATCCTGTCTACCAGATCTAATCCCTCGAATTTCTTCATCACCTCCACTATATAGACATAAGGGATTTGATTTAGGTCTACCTGAATAACCTAGTGGTTTTTCCTACTTTCTTCAATTTACGCCTGAATTTTGCAATATGGAGCTCATGATCTGAGCCACTGTCAGATCCAAGTCTTGTTTTTGCTGACTGTATAGAGCTTCTCCATCTCTGGCTACAAAGAATATAATCAATCTGATTTTAGTATTGACTATTTGGTGATGTCCACGTGTAGAGTCATCACTCATGTTGTTGGAAAAGGGTGTTTGCTATGACCAGTGTGCGTTCTCTTGACCAAACTCTGTTAGCCTTTGCCCTGCTTAATTTTGTACTCCAAGGCCAAATTTGCCTGGCATGAGTGGCAGTTGAGAAAGGAAGGCAAGTGAAGGCCACCCTTTAAGAAGATTAGGGACAGGACAGAAAGTGACAGTGGGGTTCAGGGAGGACCTTTTTTGGAGAGAAAAGATTTGTTTTGGTTTAAATGCGAGTGAGAAGGATCCTGCAGGAAGAGGTTGAACACTGTGGGGAATTGGTAACCGATGGATGAAGACAAGGCAGATAGGAAAACATAATGGGGTTGCCAGGTGGGTCGCACTGAGGCACACTAGACTATGAACTTGAGGGAGAACAAAGTTGAGTGGCTGTGTGACTTTTTCCCTGACCACCTCAGCAGGGCTGCTGTAGCTCATGAACCTTAGAGAAGGTGGGTGGCTGCACTGACCCAGGGCTAGTGTTTCCAGTTTGACAATCAAAAAAAATTGTGAGGCTGGAACAAGAGAGTAGAGGGCACTGGAGGTGAAGGTTGAGGTGGTTGGTGGGTCTTGAAGTCGAAGCTGGGGAAGGAAGGGATGAGGCAGGAGGTGGGTGGACAGAGCTCGCTGTACCACTGAAGAGCAGGCGTAAAGGGAAGATCCAGAGAAGGTGGAAGGAGCGGAGGATGAGGTCAGACCGGGGAGCCTGAACTTCAGATTGCAGAAGGTGGAGCAGTGCTAAGTGATAGCCATGGAGTGGGTGACTGAGGTTGAGAAGGGCTCTGGACATCCAGAGTCAGGGCCACGGTTCATGTGGAGCCCCCTCCAGGTGGGCAGGAAGCCAGGTGGGAATGACCCTGGAGACAGCCACGAGGGGGTGTGGCTTGCAAGACTCAGAGGAGCAGGCGGGTGGAGTGTTAAGGATGGTAGAGGTGTGGTGGTCTGGGAGAAGCCAAAGGGACTAGCCCTGTCACCACCCCTGACCTCGGGCTGGGGTGGTCTGTGATCCATCCCTCAAGGACAGCAGAGGAGGGTGGTCTCTGTGAAGAGACCTGTGTTCTCAAGGGACCTGATCGAGAATTCCCTTCTGAACATGACTCCAGAGCGGTGTTGAGACGAGGGGCCATCAGAACAGATTGCAGAGTTAGCACAGCAAGACAGGACAGTGACTCCTCGTCTAGAACTGTATGACCCACGTTGGTCAGTGAGGGCCTGATCAAAAGCTGTGATGACCACCACAGCCTTGGAATCATTATAGCTATTCTGTGCTCTCCTTGAGCAGAAAATCATGTCCTGCTCATCACCAATCCCCTGCAATGCTGGAGACCTGTGTTCAATTCCCGGTTCAGGAAGATCCCCTAGGGAAGAAAATGGCAACCCACTCCAGTCTTCTTGCCTGAGAAATCTCAGGGACAGAGGAGCCTGATGGCCTGCAGTCCATGGAGTCACAATTGTTGGACATGACTTAGTGACTAAACCACCACCACAAGGAGTGGTAGAGACAAGATGAGTTCCGAAATGTCCATGGACTGGAGGAATGCTTCCCAGTAGGTCCAGTTGGAGTGTTGATAGGGATCAAATAGAGACATTGAGAACAAATAATGTTATACCTCATGGGAGATAGCTGACATACTCAAACTATCCAAATCAAGTGTTAAAAATCACTCACATCAACTTGCTTATGTTAAGTGCTTTGATGTTTGGATTTCACACAAGTTATGCCAAAAAAAAAAAAAAACAAGACACTTACTTGATCATATTTCTGCATGCCACTCCCCACTTACACATAAGGAAAATGCTCCAGTTTTCAAACAAATTGTGACAAGCAACAAAAAGTGGATACTGTACAATAAGGTGGAATGGAAGAGCCTGTGGGGCCTGCAAATGAACCACCACCAACCACAACAAAAACCAATATTCATCCCATAAAGGTGATGTTGTGTATATAATGGGATTGGAAGGGAGTCTTCTATCATGAGCTCCTTTTGGAAAACCAAATGATGAATTCCAACAAGTAGTGCTCCAAATTCCGGCAACTGAAAGCAGCACTCAATGAAAAGCATCTGGAATTAAGTCAACAGAACATGCATAATCTTCCATCACGATAACACAAGATCACGTTTCTTCGATGATCACACAAAAAATGTTACCACTTGGCTGGGAAGTTTTGATTCATCTGTGGTATTCATCAGACATTGCACCTTTGGATTTCCACTTATTTCAGTCTTTATAGAATTCTCTTAATGGAAAAGATTTCAATTCCCTGGAAGACTATAAAAGGTACCTAGAACAGTTCTCTGCTCAAAAAGTTAAAAAGTTTTGGGAAGATAGAATTATGAAGTCGTCTGAAAAATGGCAGAAGATAGTGGAACAAAATGGTAAATATGTTGTTCAATAAAATTCTTTGTGAAAATGAAAAATGTCTTTAAGTGAAAGTAAAATGGAAGTTTCTCAGTCATGTCCAATTCTTTGTGACCCCATGGACTGCAACCCACCAGGCTCCTCTGTCTACGGGATTATCCAGGCAAGAACAGCGGTGTGGGTTGCCATTCCCTTCTCCAAGGGATTTTCCCAACCCAGACATCGAGCCTGGGTCTCTTGAAGTGCAGGCAGATTTTTTGCTATATGAGCCACCAGGGAAGCCACATACTCCCTAACCCCTTAAAAATGTCTTTATTGTTACTTAAAACCAAAGGAACTTTTTGGCCAACCCAACCCACACTAAACATGCAGCAGTTGTCAAGAAGATATGATTTCTGACTTTACCCTCTACCATTTCTGCAACTGTGCTCTGTGCACTTTGTAAACATCCCTTTCTGATATTTACATACATTGGATGCAGTTAGAAGCTTGCATGTCAGTCTCTCTTGGTTGTGAATGTTGAGTTTGAATCTCTTGTTGCTACTATCTTGTCTAACATAGTTCATGCTACATAATTATTTGCTGAGTGACTGCAAGATGCTGATTTTGGAGGCTATGTAGGACTAGGACATGTATGTTGCGTGCATTCCCATCAGCTGCTCAGATTGTCTTTTTATTTTCTGAAGGATCCTGGGGCCCTCAGAATAGGTATCTTAAAATTGCATGGAACTAATTTTCAGATGAAATTCTTTGCCAGCTTCAGACTTTCAGTGTGTTAGGATCTGGTTCTTAGATAACAAGAAAGTGGCCTATTAGGGAAAGTAGATAAGAATTCCTGTCATATTTAGCTAGAATTTGAATACAGTTCCCACTCCATCAACAAGCATATTGTTCAGGGGTGGGGCTTCACTTTTTTCAGGAATATCTTATTATTGTATACAAATTTACATGTTATATTATTAATATACATGATTATACACTAAAAATGTCAACTATGTAAAAATATATATGTAATGTATATTAGTGTATATAGATACATATGAGTATATGTATGTGCACTTTATATATAGCTATTTAAAATAAAGAGTGAGAAGACCCCCCTTTCCTTCTCCTCTTCTCACTTTTTGATCAAAAAATGGGCTACATTTAAGGAAGGGACACTGAATAAAAAGTCAAAGGACACATAGTCTATTTATGGCTCTGTCTTAATTTAATGACTGGGGGCAGTTCACCGCATCTCTATCTCTGTTTCTTCAATGTTAAGATGATGGGGTTTGAATAGGTGATCTCTTGGGTAAACTTTTATTGCACTGTAATTCTGTAGACTTATTTATCATCTATTATACTGAATTTTTAATATGTAACATGCTTCTCTGAGCTGCTGTTCAAAGAAACACGACACAGGATGTGAGACTCTGTTAATATGCTAAGGTTATAGAAGGGAAGGACTTGGCCAACAAACTTTAGTTCTGGCTCAGATGCTATATGCTCATAGGCAAACTCTTCTGATTTCTGGAGCTCAGTTTTTCCATTTGGAAAGTGTAGGGAAAAAAAACCCCACGTGCTATCTTAGTCCTCTAGGGCCTTTGGGACAGGATTTCAGAAATCTAGGTACAGAAGGAATCAGACAAAAGTCATCTGATCACATAGAACCATTGTTTTGACAACATATTTTATGCCTTTATCTTTATTTCTATCATCAGTTCATATGCCCTGCTGATTTTTTTTTTTCCTAATTAAGCACTACCTTCCCATTAATAACAAAACTCCGGTATATGGGTAACAGAAGACCTACTGAAACATTACTCTAACAGAGTTTTTGCTGTGATGAGTAACAGAGGAAACGTTTCTGGCCAGTCAGAAAGTTTCTCTGAAAAAAAGCACGTCGGTAAGAACACGGGTCAGAGGGCAGTGATCTATTCAGGATCGAACTGAAACGAATCCAGGGAAATGGGCCAGGATGGGAGTTGCTGGGTCCTCCCAGAATAGTCTCCGTTGCTGTATTTCACTGCATCCTTTCTGTAAAAAAGAGTGATGAGAGTGAGGAGGCTCTGTGACAGAATTCACACCAGCAGCCGACCCAGGTCGGCAGTGCCTGATGTAATTGGTCCCATCACATTGACATGTGATTGACATGTGATTGACATCACACTGGGGGGTCATTCCCAACCACTACCAAATCATTCCTCAATCCACTGTCCCAAAACTCTCAATATAAAACGTGGTAGGCAAGAGTCCTCTCAGAATGCCAGCTTTGAGTAAACTCCACCCCGCGTCTTTTGAGTTCAAACCACTGGCAAAACCTGTCTGAATCCCTATCTGTTCTATATTGTCCCATAACGCAGACACGCCCCTGAGAGAGTTACATTCCTCAGTTGCCCGGGGTTGCCTCTGAGTGGCCTGAATAGGTCCACTTCTGCAGCCCCGCATACAAACAGTCAAGGAGATTAAAATACCACATTTTGTATGAATTGAAGACATTCCTCCTTCTTTTCACCACCCTGAATAGAGAACCGCACGCCAGCGTCGTCTCGCTCGTTGTCTTTCCCTCATCAGCGGTCCAATGTCTGTGAATACGAGAAAATGCACATATGCATCTGAATGCAGACATGTCGCTTGACAAAAAATAATAACAATAATAATAACCCCCTGAAATGTAATTACCAGGTTAAAAAAAAAACGCACCCAGTTTTCAGAGCCTATCACATCTCGCGCCTCGGCCGCGCAGCTCCCCCGACACTGCTGCTGTTGTGTCAGACAGTGGCAGTGTTGAGCCCCGGAGCCGAGCCCGCGGCAGTCCCCGCGGCCGCCCAGGCTCCGCCGCGGACTCGGGCGCGCAGAGCCACTGGGCCGCGAGGGCGCCGGGGAGCGGGAGGGGCGCGACGGCGGCGAGGGGTCTCCGATCCGCCTCCACGAACAGTTTTCCTTCACCCCCGGCCCGAGCCCCACTCCCTCCCATGGATCGAAATCCACAGAAATTCACTGAGGGAGGGTGAGGGGAGGGAGGTCGCTCGCAGGTTCCTGGCTGTGCCTCCCCCGGGCTCAAGTCGGGGAAGCGGCCCCCCGGTCGGCGGGGCGAGCGGTGGTGTGGGGTGCCCGCACCCCTGCCGAGGCAGATCGCGGGGTGGCGGTCCCCGCTGGGCTCCGCCGCGAGGCCGCTGCGATCCTCCCCCTCCCCCGCCCGCGCCCTCCCCCTTCCTTTCACTAGGACTCCGGGACTCGAGAGAGGGCGCGGGAGGCAGCCACTCGGGCCCGACCCCACTCCAGCGCTCGCCGGGGACGCGGGCGGGTGGCGAGGGGACGCGGCGGGGGCGCGGGGCGGGCGCGGCCATGGAG